ACAAAAAAAGGATATTCAATATATACATTGTAGATAAAACAGATTTTTTTTTTTTGCTTTGTCATAATTCGTTTTCACAATAACCCTGAGCAGCTGTTGCCTAATAATTATTAAAATATACATGTTCTCTTTTCAAGTGGTTATGCCAATTTCAGCACAGTAATAAAACAGGCTTTGTAGTAAATGTAGGTGGAGAACTGTTTTGACATCTTCAACAGTGAGTACATTGTTTGGAGGTGTAAAAAGAGCTGTAATTTGTGCTTCAAAAACATGCCTAGTTTAGGAACAGCTGCAATTAATTCTGACATCTGATGTTTCTCCAGAGAGAGGCTGTGCGATGAAAAAAAGACAATGACTAAGTAATGAATTGCTATTAAATTCAATAAAGTCCTAAACTTTACTCACTCACTCACTCACTCACTCGAAGAACAGCGATGCATAGATGTTAAAGCCAAATAATATGCTTATTTTTCCATTAGATGCAAAAAAGATATATTATTTTATTCAAAACCCAGATCATTTTTTTTTGGCAAATAATTGAAGCAATCCAAACAATATATTAAGTGAAAAATGGATAGATGTTTATTTTATTGTTATTGAAAATAAACTAAATAAGTTTCAAGAGTTTCAAATTTTTTATTATGATCATATAAGTTTCTTTCTTTCTATAAATTAACTATTCTCCAGCGCCGAGTCTCCTTGGCTGATGGCATGCCTCTGGGACATTTAAGGACTGTTCAATCCAATACTCCTCATCGTGATGCACCTATAATTCTGCCACAGAGTATCATTAAATACAATTCTTCTCTGTGTCAGACTGTGATGGCACTGCGCATGGCATGTGATGTCACGGTATGGTAAGGTATGGAGACCAGGAAGTGACATTCCTGACTTTTAATACTCAGAGGGCATGGAGGCATGGCTTGAAGCTGCACTCTCAAGCATTCTAATTATTAAAATTACATTTTGGGAGTAGGACAGATGGGTAGGACTGAAAGCAATTAGATAAGATGCAGTTGTTATTTTTATAAATCTGCTTCCAGGAAAATTTTAATGAAAGGGCACCCACGTCTACCCACATTTCAAACTGACAAAGAGGGACACTTTAGTTTCAGGGGTGGGGGTGGGGGTGTGGCCAGGGGCGGGGCAGTTCTGAGAAATGTTACGTGACTTACTAATAATAGTTTATGCAACCACCCTGCTGAAAATGATAAATTTAAAGTTGATACTTCATGCTCCATAGCAACTAAGGCTTTTTGTAGTGATTATGGTACAATTAGGCAGTGGGTGAAGTCCCTCTCTTATGTTAAATCTTTTTCAAATGGTTTTGCAAAAACTCTATGTTGCCCCGGTACCCAAAGCATACTGATTGGAATAATATGAGGATATAGGACTTCTCTTTATATACCCAGAATATCTGTACAGGGAATAGCAGAGGTTGGCTGCACAAAATTGGTGCAGGTTTTCTGGCGTAGACAAATTGTTAAGCATTCTCTGCTCATCTTTTTTTGTACAGTGTGTGACTCTAGATGAATTGTGCACACTGTGTTAATGTAGATGGATTGCGTACAGTGTGTGAATGTAGATATATTGTGTACAGTGTGTGAATGTAGATGGATTGTGCACAGTGTGTAAATGTAGATTGATTGTGTACAGTGTGTGAATGTAGATGGATCGTTTAACAGTGTATGAATGTAGGTGGATTATGTATCGTGTATGAATGCAGGTGGATTGTGTACAGTGTGTATATGAAGATGGATTGTGTATAGTGTGTGAATGTAGATGGGTTGTGTACAGTGTGTATATGTAAATGGATTGCGTACAGTGTGTATATGAAGATGGATTGTGTACAGTGTGTAATTGTAGATGACTCGTGCACAGTGTGTGAATGCAGGTGGATTGTGTACAGTGTGTGAATATAGATGGATTGTGTACAGTGTGTATATGAAGCTGAATTGTGTACAGTGTGTGAATGTAGATTGATTGTATACAGTGTGTGAATGTAGGTGGATTGTGCACAGTGTGTAAATGTAGATTCGGAAATATATTATATAAGTGTGTGTAATTTTATGCGGTGTCTCTGCTCATTCCCCCAAACATTTGATTCCCATGTCCCACATGTGTCTCTGCCATCTCCTTCATGTCTCTCTTCTTTTAAATGTCCCTTCTGTCCTCCCCATGTCTCACATGAGTCTACACAAGCCTCCCCATTTCCACCATAAGTCTCTTCTATCCATCATTTTCATGTTCAGCATGTGTCTCTGCCATCCTCCTCATGTGTGGCTGTTCACCCCAAAGTGTCTCTGACTTCTCCCCATGTTCCTCATGTTTGTCTGCCATCCTCCCCATGTCCCTTTTCTGTCTGTCATTCCCATGCACATCCTCTATATTTGTCTTTTCTTTACCCTACCTATTGGTGATTGCTATGTGACTGCCGCAGTGACATGCCTATCCCTCCATTGCAATTCTGCCAACGGTTGAGAGGAGTGTTCTATTGTCTCTCTGTAATCTCTGACTTCACCTGCTTTTAGATGTGTTTTTCGCCCACCTGGGCCTCACAATGCAGTCATTCTAAGAACTTACTGTGATATGTAATACATGTCTGTCTATCCCATGACTTCCTCTCCGGCATCCTAAGACCTGCATGTTAGGATTTAAAGGACCACTATAGGCACCCAGACCACTTCAGCTCAATGAAGTGGTCTGGGTGCCAGGTCCATCTAGGGTTAACCCTGCCTGCTGTAAATATAGCAGTTTCAGATAAAGGGTTAGGGGTTAGGGTTAATCCAGCCTCTAGTGGCTGTCTCATTGACAGCCGCTAGAGGCGCTTCCGCGCTTCTCACTGTGATTTTCACAGTCCATAGGACGCATGCGCATTCAGCCGATGACAGCCCGGTGGGAGTGGGACCCTGAGGGTGGGGGCACCCTCAGGGCACTATAGTGCCAGGAAAATGAGTTTGTTTTCATGGCACTATAGTGGTCCTTTAAGTAAACTGATAAGACCAATACAGGGTTAATGATTAAAAAAAAAAAAAAACTCCCAAAAATATATATTTTTCATCTTTACAGATAATTTTACTTTAAGTCATCAAAGAAGCCACATTACACATATGTATTAAAGGACCACTATAGTGCCAGGAAAACATACTCGTTTTCCTGGCACTATAGTGCCCTGAGGGTTCCCCCACCCTCAGGGTCCCCCTCCCGCCCGGCTCTGGAAGGGGGAAAGGGGTAAAAACTTACCTTTTTCCAGCGCTGGGCGGGGAGCTCTCCTCCTTCTCTCCTCCTCCGTTCCTCCTCCTGGGCTGAATGCGCACGCGCGGCAAGAGCTGCGCGCGCATTCAGCCCGTCGCATAGGAAAGCATTTACAATGCTTTCCTATGGACGCTTGCGTGCTCTCACCGTGAAAATCACAGTGAGAAGCACGCAAGCGCCTCTAGTGGCTGTCAATGAGACAGCCACTAGAGGATTAGGGGGAAGGCTTAACCCATTCATAAACATAGCAGCTTCTCTGAAACTGCTATGTTTATAAAAAAATGGGTTAACCCTAGAAGGACCTGGCACCCAGACCACTTCATTAAGCTGAAGTGGTCTGGGTGCCTAGAGTGGTCCTTTAAGATAATAAGTATCTTGCCTCTTCTTCCAGTCTAGTGTGTTGATATCATTTTAAACCTCAATGAACATATCAGAATTTCAAAGTTGAGGAACTTTATTGTAATCATCAAAACAGAGTATCCATTTTATCAAAATGCATAAGGTTCACTTTATCCGTTACAAACAATGGCATCCTTGCCATCCCATCATGCTGTTAGATTTTTTTTTTCTCTTTTTTGCAATGCATCTCTATATTCCAAATGGACATTTTATCTTATTTTTAGAATACTATAATAATTCTTTATTTTGTTGTGCAGAAAATTCCATACGATTTTGTCATGCCCCAACAGCAATAGACAAAGAGACAAGGTACATGGTTTACATGTAGTAAGGCATTGATAGAAACTTGTGCACATTTTGAAGAAGTATTGACAAGTTAAGGAACGTAATAAACAAGGCTTAATATAACGGTCTAGATCTATATTGTGGCGTTTGCTGTCAGAGTATGTAAATCTATCTAGACTCTGGGGTGAATGGGGAGGTATGTCACAACAGCTCCATCAAACATAGTAAAATAGGCAGGATATATTATTAGCCTGGCATTAATAAAGATTGCACATTTTTATATAGGGGTTTCAAGTGGAGAACAGTATCCTAATAATAAATGTCAGTAGGTAGTTAAACAAGATTGTGTGGTGGTCAAGCTATACTAACTGACATAGTCATCACTAGTACTGAGTGTTTTAATATGCAGGAATGTGCATGTCTACAGGTTCATAAGCTTTTTGTAAAACATATCCATTCAGGCAAAGGTAACCAGCCTTCATTGCCTCTGCAGTATTGTCGATTATTTTTAAAGTACATTTAAAACCAATGCTTGCTAATACAGAGCATGACACGTTGTTATAAAAGAAAATCAAGGTTAAGTCACGCTATGCACATGTCTAGGGTGTTGGATTACTAGCAGATCATTAATCTGTAGATATCAGACAGTCATATTGAAGACTGGCTACAAGCTATGCCGTGATTGAGAGTGTGTGACTGGTGTGAGTTGTAAGCCATAATTTGAGTAGTAAGAGATTACCATGAGGATGCCTAACAATTAAACACGTAAACACATAAAAACGATTGAACAGTTAGGAACATTCACGCTTTGAGGGTTGTTGTAAAGTTCTCTCCCGCTGTGAATCTCAGTTAGGGAGGCTGCGTGTTGGTCTGGTCAGCGTCTGTCGTGGCATAACGGTCGATTAAGTGGGCCAGGTAGCGTAAATAGTCCAGGTGTGGATCGGTACAAATCAGTCCGTGAGAGAAGAGCGTGACGGTAACTGAAATGTCCAGGCTGCATATTAGTGGTCGATCACCCCATCCCTTGTCTTGGTACCTGGCTTCTTTGGGGTGTGAGAGTCTCAATGGGCCTGATCTTGTTGTGTTGTTTTTCCCATACTTGAGTCGGGCTCTGGTTCCTGCCGGTCCGGCTGCATGCAGCTCCTCCGCTGGCTCGGTGCGGTGCAGTGCCGGCTTGCTCTTGAAGCCTCATCCACTGGAGGTGCGAGATGTGCGCCGGGAGGCTCACCCTTGCTGTTTTCAGCCCGGGGTAGTGGTGCTGGATTTTGGTTGCTTTTGGGCTCCTGTAAGTGCCCGGGGGTTGGTTGCGTTAGAGTGCGTGGCGTGGAGGTTGCATGTGTAGCAGGTCGGTGAGTGGCAGGCGGCGAGCTTCGCAGTGAGCGGTCGCCCCATTCCCTCTCCTCTCGTTGCTCTTGCCTGACAGCAAGTTTGCGCCAGAAGTTGGCGAATATTTCGTCCAGGCACTTCATGGAAGTCGCAAGGCTGCCTTCACATGGCGCGTCCGCCATTTTGGGACGGCTGACTGAAGGCCTCAGCTTACTAGGGCTTCTGCAGGATTACATAGGCCCCTTCTTTTCGATGGACAGTTGATTATATACCGGGATGTCCCTCACTGGCGGGGGGGGGGGGTAGTCTGATTGCCTCTCCTCGTCAGGCAGAGTGTCAGCAAGGAGAACGGCCATTTCTCACCAGCTGCCTCCACCGATATTTCTCGGAGATGCGTTGAGGTAAAATCACCCTTCGATCGGTAATATGCCGTAGATTGTGGCTCAGTGTGTCCTCAACAGGATTTGTCAGATTTGCTTGGGTATTGAGTCAGTTTATCAGCTTTTTCGTATAGTTTAGCCAGGAACTAACTTCATGTGCGACCCCTCAGAATGGCGGTTAGGCCCCCTAGAATACTTTTTTTGACATAACAAACTCATAACAAGTAACATTTTTCACATGTCACATTTAAGTAATCTTGTCTGCTGCTTTGGCAGCAAACTCTGTCAACTGACGTATTCTCTG